GACAAATTTTCTCCACCATTTTCATCATGCAGTCTTTAATAAATTCATAAATAAAACCCTCAGTAAAAGGTTTGCAGTGCTTGGCAATCAGTGTTGCCACCTCGTAGCTCGCCTTTGTGGCATTTTCATTTGACTCACGGGCTCTTGTGAAAAAGCGCTGCTGTGCCGTTAAAGCAGCTTCCAGTACTTTCAATTTTTCGCCACGTTCGTTCCCAGTTAGCTTGTTGTAGTTAGCATGTTTTGTCTGGTAGTGCCTCTTGATATTGAATTCCTTGAAAACAGCCACAGTCTCTTGGCAAATTAGGCAGACACAGTTGTTTCGTATTTCAGTGAAAAAATACTCCAATTTCCATTTGTCCTTGCTGTCAACTTTCCTTTTTTTAGTTACAGTCGCCATTTTAGAAATGGGCACACAAACAAGCCTTGTGTCACAAGGGTCACGCGGCGAGAGTGCTGACTCAGGTCTTCTGCCATCTTCTGGTGAAATATAACCACCAGCCTTGAAAGAGCAGTAGGCAGCAGGGGACAGCTGCGGGAATCGCTGTGCGGTGAAGGGAAAAACGCCGGCCGGCGGGGATGAGTGACAGGCTGAGCCGGTGGGGAGAAGAGGCTGTAGGCTGCTCGAAATTTGAAAACGGGCCACAATTGGCCCCCGGGCCGGACTTTGGACATGCCTGGTTTAATGGGACAGGAGGATGGGAGACAAGATGTACTAAGATTACTCTGTAATTGTTTGGGGACTGAGCAGTATTTAACTTGTGATCTTTCTCCAAGGCAGGTCATGAGCATGTCATGAGCAGAGCCAGCTGGAGCCAGGAGTCAGACTAGATGGCCTGAGAGGCCTCTTCTGACTCGCTCTGTTTCTGTGTTTCTAAGACACTGTTATGTTCATTCACAAAGTCATGTCTGACCCATCACAATCCCATGGACAACATTCCTCCAGGTTCTCCTGTCCCCCACCTTCCCCCGGAGTACACCCAATCCCACACCAGTGACCCCATCCAGCCACCTCAACCTCTGCTGTTCCCTTCTCCTTTTGCCGTCAATTGTTCCCAGCATTAAGCTCTTCTCTAGTGAGTCATTCCTTCTCATTAGGTGGCCAAAGTTTTGGAGCTTTATTTTCAGTATCTGACCTTCTAAAGAACAGTCAGGATTGATTTCCTTTAAGATTGACTGATTAGATTTCTTTGCAGTTCAAGGGACTCGCAAGAGTCTTCTCCAGCACCACAGTTCAAAGGCATCTATTGTTTGGCACTCAATTTTCCTTATGGTCCAACTTTCACAGCTATACATTGCAACTGGGAAAACCATAGCTTTTACTATATGAACTTTTGTTGGCAAGGTAATATCTCTGCTTTTTAGTATTCTTTCTAGATTTGCCATAGCTTTCCTCCCAAGGAGCAAGTGTCTTAATTTCTTGGCTGCAGTCACCGTGTGCGATGATCTTGGAGCCCAAGAAAATGAAATCTGTCATTACCTCCATCTCTTCCCCGTCTATTTGCCAGGAAGTGATGGAACCAGATGTGATGATCTTAGTTTTCTTAATGTTGAGTTTCAAGCCAACTTTTGCACTATTCCTCTTTTACCACATCAAGAGTCTCTTCAGTTCCTTTTCACTTTCTGCCATGAGAGTGGTATCATCTGCATATATGACGTTGTTGATATTCCTCCCAGAAATCTTAATTCTGATTTGTGATTCTAAGACACTACCTGGGTTATTTGGTGACTTAATAACAGCTGATTGTAAACAACCCTGTTTGCTAGCAGAAGTTTCCCATTCCAGAAGATAGTGAGGGATCCTGTGGGCAGAGGAATGGCATAGGATTTTGTTGCAAATAGTGAAATAGAGTAAATTGTATTTATAGTATGAGCTGAAACTCCACATTTTCTGTACTCTGTCAGTTCTTCTGAGTACATGCTGCAAATGAGTATTTTGCTAGGCTTACCCTGTAGCTTGGAAGTTGCTTTGGTGCTGGTACCTTCCTCCCATCCCCTGTTCCAGTGGAGCTGATACTAATTAACTTAAGAAATGACGCACAACCAATTGTCCCTTTCTGTCCACATCACCCTGATGTGGAAAGAGCTTGTTCTCAGATATTGTTTGTTTATTATATTAAAACTATTTTTAGGACTGCCTTTTAGGCCAAGGGGTTTCTTGGTACTCTGTAAATTCCCATGAAACATAGCCTAGAGAAAAGGACAGATGTGGTGGACCCAAATCTCTGGTATTATCTGTTTGTGCATAATACAAATTATTCCTGTATTTCTTAATGAGTTCCATTTGTGTTTTGTATCACAAGGGCATTGCATTATTTTCTAAATCAGTGGTAAACTGTGAGTTTCTTTCTGATCTTGGAAAGAGACATATTTGCCATAGGAAGGGTTTATAAATGCTTGGAACAACATTTTTCCAGACTTTAAAAAACTGTTATTGTTTATTAAATTTGTGTGTCAGTTCCTACTGTAAAAATGCCTTGAAGCAACTGATACATGTAATGTAGCAATCCATTATTAATATAATGGAGAAGGAGAATCAAGATAAACTATAGCACAATAATGCAAAGGAAAATGATTACCACAAAAACATAATATAACACAAGGCAAAAAATCTCCATCTACAAAAAGACAAAACCTACCATGCAAACAGTCTAGAATGAATATCATAAACACAGTCTACAAACAACGGAACTGTAACTGATGTCCAAATACCTGAGAAAATAAATATATCTTACCTGGCACCAAAATGGTGTCAGTGTCATTGCCAGCTGGGCTTCCTTGGGGAGAATGTTCTATAAACACAGGACTGTGACAGAAAAGATACATTCCCATATTACACCCCCAGCCCAGCTCCTCTGGAGTAGGCAAACAGAGAAGGTTTGCCTTTGAAGCTGACCTCAAGGGCCAGGTAGGTTCATATGGGGAGAGGTGGTCCTTGAGATATTGGGGTCTTCAGCTGTTTCTCCATAAAATAAGTACTTTGCATATGACCCAGAAAGAAATTGGCAATCAGCACAAGTGAACCAGAATTGAGCTTAGATGTTCACTTCCTGTCGTCTGGTCAACAGCTTGGCTGCACTGGCGGCTGTATCTGAATTGCCTTCAGGGACACCCCAACATACAGTGCATTGCAGTAATCTAGAGGTTAGCCAGACCATAGACCACAGAAACTAGGCTATTCACAGCCAAACAGAGACCCAGCTGGGCTCCCAGCCAAAGCTGTAAAAAGTACCCTACATCCCGGAGGCCACCTGAACTTCCAGTGAGCTGGAAAACTGCTTGTTCTGCGGTAATTTGACTGCATCTAGGGCTGTTCATCTTTCTACTAAAATAAAACCAGTACTATCCAATATTGGATATTGCATGCATGTGGAGATAAAATTATTTAGATATTTTCATAAATTTCTTGCCAATTTGCAACCCACACATGCTTGGAAAAAGTGGCTACAATCCAGGGATTAAATCTCAGTGAACATTCTCAAGGGTTTTCAGTGAAATTGTTTCCAACTGTTACTAAAGTGCATGTTGCAACTTCCTGCCACTGACACAAGTTTTTCAAATGGGAACTGAATCTAAAAGAGATATGCCTACTGGGTCATTGGAGAAAATATATTAAAGTCATTTGCACTTTGAATTGCCATCTTTAATATATGATAACTGTAGATCGAATGAGAAGATATATTATTATTCTCACTAGAATCAACAAGTAATGCTGCTGCATATTTCCTGTCACACTGAGATTCTTAAGAATGTGATAGGATCTTGTTTGTTACATGTGCCATGTTCTAGTTTTCATATGTGTTGAGGACAGAAAAGTCATAGAAACAGAGCAAGTCAGAAGGGGTCTCCCGGGCCATCTAGTCTGACCCCCGGCTCCAGCCGGCTCCGCTCACGACATGCCCACCATGTGGACGTCCAGCCTATCCTTGAACACTCTCATCGATGGGGCCTCAACGACCTCTCGGGGAAGCCCATTCCACACCCTCGGGGTCCTGACTGTCAGGAAGTGCTTCCTGGCATCTAAATGGAACCTCGGTTCCCTGAGCTTTGCTCTGTAGGAGCACGTCCTGCCTTCCTCTGCAGGGGAGAACAGGTCTCTACCCATCTCCGTGTGACATCGCGTCACATACCTGTATGTCGCCAACAGATCCCCTCTGAGTCTCCTCCAGGCTGAAGAGACCCAGTTCCCTCAGTCTCGCCTCATACGGCATCCCCTGCAAACCGGCCACCAATCTTGTGGTCCTACGCTGCACTGCCTCTAACCTGGCTATATCCTTTCTGTAATGAGGGGACCAAAACTGAGCACAATACTCCAGTTGTGGGTGTACCAGAGTCATATAGAGTGGTAGTAATACCTTGATCTAGAAGCCACACTTCTGGCTATGCAACCAAGGGTGGTGTTCGCCCTCTTGACCACCGCCAGTCCCTCTTGTTCATTGTCTAACTATGAGAGAGACTGGTAACACCAGCAAGCAATTTTATATTAAAAAACCTATTTGTTATTAGGTGCACACTAACAGTGGAGAGTGAGCCCATCTCCAGTAGGAACCTGCTTCATCCTATACTATGAATTTGTACATTTTGCGTTGTGCATTGATTGGTAACAGGAAAACTTCATATGCATGTACCATACGTGATTGCTTTATTATTTCCATGTTCATGGACTATAGGACTATTGATGGCCACTAGTCATGGTACCTTTATATCACTGCTAGAATCTGAAGTATCAGTATCAGTCACTGGGAACACAAGCAGAAGGGTGTTGATGCATTCAGGTCCTGCTTGTAGGTTTCTCTTCAGGGCATTTCGTTAGCCACTTTGCAAAGCGAATGCTGGACCAGATTGCTGGACAAGGCAGACTTTTGGCCTACTCCAGCACAGTTTTTCTCCTTCTTTACTCTTTGATTTCTCATTTCAAACTTGCAGTCTTCTTAATTCTTCTTCTTTTCTTTAGGGTATGTGAATGCTCGGCTGGAAAAGGAAACACCAATTTTTAATAAACAGAGGATTGACTTTACCCCTCCTAACAAGATTAACTGCCTGGTTGTCTCTTCTAACCAGTTGTGTATGAGCCTTGGAAAAGACATACTTTTTAGGTAACTTGTACAGAATCCTTTTATTACTCTGATCTTTTTATGGATAGTTTGGAGCAAGTTCATGTAAGATGAACAGGCACTTAACCATTGCAAAAATACTTTTTCAGTTTCCAACACCTTTTTAAAAGCTTGAGACTCTTGACTCTCAAGTCATATTTCTCAGTTTGCATGGTAATGTGCATTAAAGGGCAAGTGTGTTTGAAACAGAAATACAGGCAAAAAGTCAACACATCAAATGTTTCCTGAAATAAGATGACTGTCTCCAGAATTACTTTAGATGTTAAATCAGGAGCTGTACTCTCAGTTCATAGAGATCCACCACATTCAGTCATGCTATGTTGCAGCACATGTTAATGCAGTGAGATAGATCCTCTTTTCAGCAGGAGAGTCACACACCAGAGCCAAGGCTAAAGAGTTAATTAAGAAAAGTGCCACTTGGGTGAACAACTAAATGAAGGAAAACCTAGGCAGGGGTTTGTACTTGCAGGGAAGGACAGACAGCTCACATGGTCACACAAGAGATAAATTTGCCTCATGGCACCATGCCACAGAAGCAGTGCAACTTGCACTGGAATCCAGGAATCCAGGGCCTTTGCTCCATCTCTGGTATTTTCCACAGTTCTACTAATGGCCTGAGACCCTTGTATGATCTTCTCAGGGATGTCTAATCGGTGGGAATCATGGACTGTCAAGTAAAAGATAGAAAAGTTCTACTTGGAACAGCAGGATGCTTTCATATTTTCTTTTATTTTTGTAAATGGCCTTTGTCTTGGGATGCTCTTATCTCATTGAGGCCAGGCTGGTTCTCTGATCCAGCAGTTTCATCATTTTATTGTTACAAGTTGGTCATTTCTTACGTTCATACAATTTGGCGAAACAGGCTGTGGCAAAAAGCAGGTACAACAGACTCAAAAAAAGCTACACTTCAGCTCACTCATGTCTACAGGAAACCATGGCCCATTTATGTCTCTGACATATTGCAATATAACAATAAAATGCCAGTAAATCCCTTTTTTCACCAATTGATTTTTGGTCCTGATAAACTACACACGCTCTTTCTCATACGTTATGATAAAGTTCAGCTATACTCCTTACTACCCCCTCAAAAGGTTGTCTCTATTTTTATGTGGTTGTCATATTGGAAATTATGCATTTTTAGGATGTGTCCACATTGGAAAGAAAATACATAATTTATATCTGCTATCCAGTAAAAGAGAACCTTATCACAACAGTCTCTATTAAGTAATATTGCAACCCCAGACAATCACTTTTTAAACCTTTATTATTAAATACAGTTGCTTTCTTTTTGATTGTCCCTGTTTGTTTAGTTGTGACTTTAAGACCTTGTGAATTACCAAAAGTATTAATAAAAATGATAAAAAGCAAGGTCTCTTTAGAAAAAGTTATGACTGAAATGAACTAATGATCAAGCAGTAATGTATCTTTCCACCTAATCAGTTTATTTTACTTTTTAACCTCTCCCCCCCCTTCCTTCCTTCCTTCCTTCCTTCCTTCCTTCCTTCCTTCCTTCCTTCCTTCCTTCTCTTATGTAGACTTGACTTGGCCAAGGCAGATGAGCCCAACCAGGTAGAGCTTGGACGAAAGGATGATGCCAAAGTTCACAAGCTTTTCTTGGACCATACAGGTGAGGTGAAAATGAGGGATGTGAAATGCTAATTGACATCTTGAGTAAACGGCACAAACATAGTGTTCTGGTTGTGTTTAGCAGAACCACACTGAGTTCTTACCACTGTAGTAAGATGTATAGCCTTTTCTCACTTAAGGATTTTTTGTTTTTGGCAAAGTGCATATTTGCGTGTAAGAGCAATTTTCATGGCCTCTGTCTGTGAAGATCTGGCCTCCCTGGTTCTTTGACCATTTCTTCTTTCTTGCACCTCTATTTTTGGTTGAGTCATCTTATATAGAGACAAAGAGATTATTTCAGTAAGCTTTTGCTGGTACAAAAGAGGCTTTAATACAGTGATATTCTGATAAATTTTCTCGATTATCTGTCATCTGCTATTTGAAGAGCTAACAAAGGGGCACTGCAATATTAATGCTTCCATCTTTATCAAAACTTTTGATAGGAAGTGATATTGCTTTCACTTCGATAAAACCTGTAATGTAATTTATGAGTGGATATCTAAATAATGGCTTTCAAGGCTGACTGTAACCATTTCATTTTATAACAGTAGGATAGCTACTGAGACCAAAAGAAGCCACTTTCTAAGTAGCATTAAATGTTGATGTACATTATTCTGAATGTATCAATTTAGATGGAAATTCTAAACATTTGTGAAGTTTTTACATGAACTAGCTGGGGCCAAATAGGAGATTAATGATGATGGTGGCGGTGATATTTTTTTCTGACCTCATTCCAGTTGAAGTAAATGGGTAACAGATAAGATATAGTAATTGTCTGTATGACTCTTGAGTTCTTACTGGGTTTGTTGCGGAAAGGGGTGGGATGGATTCCTGGAAGATGAGCCTGCCATGATGGCTGTATGGCACTGCTACGATCTGACAGTATACCTCTGAGTACTGTTGGTTGGGGTGTGACAGTAAGGGAGGGCTATGATTTATGTCCTGCTTGTGGGCTTTCTGAGGGTGCCTAGTTTGCAGCTGTGGGAAATGGGAGGCTAGGCCACTTAGGCCTCTGAGTTGATCCAGCAGGGCTCTTGTTATTAAAACTGCTGTGATTTTGGGGGTCACCAATCTGTAATGTTTTTCAAATCTAAATGCAGAAGCTTTCGAAAGTATCCTCTGTCATCAGAGGCTATTCCTAGGTATTGCTCCTTGCTAGGCTGTCTCTTCATTATTTCATCCCTTTCACTTTACAGGTTCTCACCTGATCATTGCCCTGAATACCAATGAATGCCTCTATTTGAACCGAAATGCTCAGAAGGTGCGGCCCCTGTCCCGCTGGAAAGGGCACTTGATTGAAAGTGTAGGCTGGAACAAATTCTTTGGTTCGGAGATGAACACGGGCCCCATTTTGGTTGGAACATCCCAGGGCCACATATATGAGGCTGAGATTTCTGTGAGTGAAGGCAGTCTGTTTGCCACGAACCCTGATCAGTATTTCCGCCTCATTTACAGCCTGGAGGAAGAGGCAGGGCCTGCCCCAGTCTGCTGTCTTGAAATAGAACGAGGGATTGATGGGAAGTGTTTCATCATTGCCACCACGCACAAGAGGCTTTTTCAGTTTGTTGGCAAGATTCCAGAGGGATCAGAGCAGCAGGCCTTTGGTACAATATTTAGCATGCCTGCCGATCACTTGCCTGGTTTTCGTGAGTTTCCCGCTAGCCTTGGCTACAGTGAAATAGCATTTTACACCCCAAAACTTCGTTCCTCTCCAAGTGCTTTTGCTTGGATGATGGGAAATGGTGTCCTATATGGATCACTGGATTATGGACGTCCTGACTCTATTCTGAGTGATGAACAGGTCTGGGAATATCCCTCTGATGTCAATGCAGTAGCCAATAAGCCTATTTCCATAGTGCTCACACAGTTCCATTTTCTGCTGCTCTTTCCTGAAAGCGTGAAGGCTGTGTGCACTCTGAATGGCCAAGTTGTCTTTCATGATGTGTTCTTGGAAAAGTTTGGCTCCTTGACACGCATGATCAAAGATCCCACATGTGGGCAAATCTGGATTCACACAGAAAAAGTTGTGTTTAGATACAACGTGCAGCGAGAGTCCCGCGATGTATGGAAAATGTACATGAATATCAATAAATTTGATCTGGCTAAAGAGTACTGTAAAGAGCGCCCCGAGTGCCTAGATATTGTGCTGGCAAAAGAGGCAGAGTACTGCTTCCAGAATCGGAAATACCTAGATAGTGCTAAATGCTATGCTTTAACCCAAAATTACTTTGAGGAGATTGCCCTTAAGTTTATTGAAGCCAACCAGGAAGAGGCACTGATGGAGTTTCTGATTAAGAAACTGGCTAGTTTGAAGGATTCTGAAAAAACACAAGCAACACTGCTGACCACCTGGCTAACAGAGCTATACTTAAATCGTCTGGGTGTGCTAGAAGGGGATGCCTCAAAGCGGGACCTCTATGAGAAGACCCGGGACAAGTTCCGCAGCTTCTTGGGCAGTCCTAGAAACAAGGAATGCCTGTTCAACAACCGAGCAACTATTCATGAGCTGTTGGCAAGCCATGGGGACACAGAGCACATGGTGTACTTCGCCGTCATCATGTGTGACTATGAGCGGGTGATAGCCCATTACTGCCAGCATGAAAACTACAATGAAGCCCTGGAAGTCTTGTGTAAAATCAGGGCCCAGGATCTCTTTTACAAGTTTTCTCCAATTTTGATCCATCATATTCCCAAGAAAGTGGTAGATGCTTGGATTGAAATGGGCTCAAACCTGGATGCGAAGATGCTCATTCCTGCCCTTGTCAACTACAGTCAGAGCGGAAGCACCCAACAGATCAATGAAGCCATTCGGTACATGGAGTTCTGTGTGACTGAGCTGAAGGAAACTCAGCAGGCCATTCACAATTACTTGCTGTCGCTCTATGCTTTGAGTCGCCCCGACTCGCTGTTGTCATACCTGGAACAAGCAGGAGCCTATGCAGACAACATCTGCTATGACCTGAAATACGCACTTCGGCTCTGTGCAGAACATGGCCACCACCGAGCATGTGTCCATGTGTACAAAGTTATGGAGATGTATGAGGAAGCCGTGGATCTAGCTTTGCAGGTAAGTGTGCTACTCTAGCAACTATGGTCTCCGTTCATTTCAAGTCCACGATCTTAGACAAACCTCCTCAGCCTGGTACCACCCAGATAGTTTGGGCTACAGCTTCCAGTATTCCTGACCATTGGCCATGCTGACCAGGGCTGATAGGAGCTGAAGTCCAAAAAATTTGCTGGTTATCAAGTAGGGAAGGACTGCTTTAGATACTCTTTAAATGGATGTGGGAAAATGCCATTGATGAAAGACTGAGAATGACCTGGCCAGCTTTCTTGCTATGTTTATTGTCTGGAGAGCAAGGGACTGTAAGTACAGGGACCTCTGATGTAACAGTTTCTCTGCCGCATCAGTTCAGGACTTGTCTGGCCCAACGTTTTTTGAACAGCAGGCAGCATTTCCCCTTGAGAAGCTCACAAGTGCATGGGAGCAGTCACCTTCCCATTATATATCCCGGTGTGTGGCTTTTGGTGATGTCCTGCTTCTTTTTAAGGAGGTTCCATTTAGGTCTCAGGGCAAAAGGCCACTGATTGCTACCTGCCATGGATGTTTAAAGATTAGAGCAGGGCCATCTATTGATTGTTCTGTAATCAAGGTGCTACTACCCAAGAAAAAGGGGAAGTATTTGCATGTCTGGAGAAACTTGGAGGTTTGCGGAAGTGAAAAAAAAACTTTGAGAAAATTAACCCTTGGACCCCAAACACACCATTCCCCCTCCCACCAGATTGTTTATACACAGAAGAAAGGGGAGGGGCAGAAACTGAACCTGGGTGTGTGCTTAGGCCATGAGCTGGATTTAAATGGCAGAATAAGATTGTGTTTGCTAATGAAGGGAGGGGTTGAAGGTGAAAACAGAAAACTGAAGATGAAAAAGGGCGGGGGGAAGAGAAGTTAAGAATAGAGGATGTGGAAAATGAAAAACTGCACGGCAGAGGTGAGATAATGTATTCTTAGGTGGTTGTGGCTTCGTCTCGGTCTGATTGGCTGGAAGCCTGAGGAGCAGCACCCCATACGGCAACATTGTGTGCAGGCACTTGTTGTCTTTTCTAAAGGCTAGCTAGTTAGTAGCCTTGGAGCATTTGATGCAGGGCGGATAAAATCAATGATTAAAAAAAAAAAAAATTAAAAAATAAATTGGAGTTTTAAATTGAAATTGGAGGTTTTTTGGTTTAATTTTTTTAATAAAATGCTTTTTGAGGGAAAATCTATCTAAATACAGTTTCTTATTTAACATACTTTATAGTGCAAATAAGGATTAGTTTTTAATTATGTAGCATGGGGCTATATGTATTCATGCAATGTTTAAAATTTTTGGTAAATGAATTCGATTAATCCATTCACAATGCTATGCTCTTCCAAAGGGTTCTGTAAGATTTTTGGGCAGTTTTTCTATCTAGAAGATATTATCACTGATGCTTGGTTTTACAGTGTGTCTGCAGAGATCACATGACTCTTCTTCATAGCAAAAATGTTCTAAAATAAACATGCAGAGTTGAGAAAAAGACCTTAATCCCATTCTTTGCAAATCTATGTGCACAGAATCAACCCCTTACCTCCTAAGTGCCAAGTTTCAAAAAATTCAATGAATAGAAGATTACTGGGAGTGGAATAGATCTGCACAAGAAGCTAAGGGTGAGGAGGGGGACAAGCAATAAAATGAAATAGAAAATTTTTTGAGCAGAACTCTTTGGATTTTTTGTGTAGTGAGATTTATCATATTATTATTTCCCTGGAGGAGAAAGCCTATGAAAGAGACCTATTTTAGGAATATTTTAATGACTTTTCTTTACTGAGTAGTGATTTAAATTGTCTTTTAAATTGATTTAAATCAAATCCACCCTGATTTTATGGCAGTATTTTATATAATTTATTCTAGTGCCCTGTAAAGTATGGTTCCATTTTTCTGTTTTCAACCTGCTGCTGTTAATGCTTCTTTCGATGACTAAAACTATGAAAGCTGGAATGTTATCTCCCAGGTGTTTACCCAGCCTGTGTGAGTGTCATGAGGCCAGCAGAGTGTGCAATGTCTGGAGACAAATCATAGTGTAACCTTGCTGTCTAGCCTTTTGTGGTCCCAAGCTCTACTACAAGCATTGGGTTGGGTGCTGCAAAGGAAGCACAGCTGCTTTTGAATGTTTTGTAGCATGTAAACTTCTTCAGCTGAGTTGAATAATGACCCAGAGAATGTAAAATGCATAATAGAATTGCTCTTTGCATGCCATCCACACCACTGCCTGCTGATGAAGCACAGGGTACAAATGGCTCTTGAAGCATTAATGTCTTCCCAGCTAAGGAATTAGTACCCTCTTGTCCTCAGTAGTAGTGTTGGTTTGCCTTGGCTTTATGCTCCCTCTCTTCTTCAAGGAGAGTGACCAACTTATGCATTTGTAATCCCCCCATCTTCCTATCCCATGCTTTGGTATGAGTTAAAAGGTGAACGTATGACCCATGAGGGAATGCAACTCCTCTTGAGTCTGTTCAGTCTTGTTACATCTTTGGTCAGATGACCTTGCAAAATGATCCCTGGCTGCTAAAAGTAGCATCCAATCGCAGCTGAAGGAGGCTATGGAAAACATCTTGTTCTTGTACCCTTTTTTGGTGTGTGTATGGTTCCTCCTAGCAGTACCTCCCTTTCCCCACCAGTATATTATGTGGCAGGTGTGTGGGGGGAATGGTAACTATTTACTTTTGCTCCCGCCTTGCTCCTCCCCTCTCCCTGCCCCAGGTGGATGTAGATATGGCAAAGTCCTGTGCAGACCTCCCTGAAGAGGATGAGGAACTGAGGAAGAAGCTCTGGCTGAAAATTGCTCGGCATGTGGTCCAGGAAGAAAAGGATGTCAAGAAGGCCATGGCCTGCCTTTCTAGCTGCAACCTGCTGAAGATCGAAGATGTTCTTCCCTTCTTTCCAGACTTTGTCACTATCGATCACTTCAAGGAAGCCATCTGCAACTCTCTGGAGGCCTACAATAAACACATAGAGGAACTGAAGACAGAGATGGAGGAAGCAACACAGAGTGCCAAAAGGATCAGGGAGGACATTCAGGAGCTGAGAAACAAATACGGCTCTGTGGAGCCCCAGGAAAAATGTGCTGCATGTGACTTTCCACTCCTAAACCGTCCCTTTTATCTCTTTCTCTGTGGCCACACGTTCCACTATGATTGCCTTCTCCAGGCAGTTTATCCAAAGTTGCCTGCCTATAAACAGGCTAAACTCGAGGACCTTCAGAAGAAGCTTTCATCCACAAGCCAACCTTCGAAATCCCACCATCGCACAAAAGACGCAGACACTACTAGCCAAGGAAAGGGCCAGCCAAGTCGGGAACAGATGAAAGCTGACATTGATGATATTGTGGCAGCTGAATGTGTATATTGTGGAGAGTTAATGATCCGATCAATTGACAAGCCATTCATTGATCCACAGAGATATGAGGAAGAGATGCAGAGCTGGTTGTAAGAGTTAACATATTTCTGCCTGTGCAAGAGTATGAAATTGCCTGTAAAACATAAGGCTTGGCAGCCAACCTCTGGACATCTTAACTTAAGGATTCTGTGGAGGTTTGAAAAAGTATTACATGAATCTTGGCATCTGTAAGTTAAGTGCTGCAGAGTGGTGTGTCAGTGATAGTCATTGTCTTTTTGGCTGCCAGCAAAGCACTCCGCAAAGCACTGTCAGCTGCTGGGTTTCTTTAGATAATATTCTTCATGTAATACTGAATCATCCTTTGTCTTGTTGAGACTAAATATGAATGGCTTTTGTTACCCTGTCTGGGCTATTCCCATATTTCTGTAACGAATGAGGCAGTTCTAGAGATGCCCATTTTCATAAACGTGTATTATTTTCAAATGTGGAGCTTCTCCTTTTGTTGTTCTTGGTAATAAGAAAGGCTGTTCTCTGCACTGGAAACATAACAGGGAGAAAATGTGCATGAAGTCCTGTTCCGTTGGATTAATTGTGGTATGGAAGTTTCAGAGTCTGAATTCTCAGGCAAAGCAATTTCATGTAAAAGCCACATTTTTAGCTTTGGTTTGTGTGATTTCATTGTATTTACTGCCTTCATTTCCTGAAAGCTTATTCTGAGTAGCTAACAGACTGTTAAAAGTTTCCTGGAGTATTCCTTCAATTTGTTCCAAGTAAATAGAATCACTCAATGGAACTACGGTTGATAACATTTGTACAGATTTCATATGATGTCAGTGCTAATTTTGAATCTTATATTTGAATATTCCTGTCCCCTCGGTAGAGCAGTATTTTGTTGCTAGTATCTTACAAGAGTATCCCTCGTCATGATCACTGGCACATTTCTGTGGCTTATGATCTTAAAACAGCTAACTAGAAGCTCTTGTTCCATCAATCGTAGACCCCGTAGTTAGGTTAGGAACCATACTTGATTCAGTTTTTGTAATCCTTAAATGACTATGGAAAAATTACGTGATTGGAAAGCTTTGGGATGTGGGTTCAGAGTTGAAAGTTGTTTTGAATTTCTATAAAAGATACAATTGTCTTTTTTGTTTTGGCAAAGAGACTTTAGGTAACAAGGAATGCCAGCTAAGAAACTTAATGAGTCAGGGGTTACTTTATAGCAAGAACCACATTTTCTATTGTCTGAATAGAAATTCTGAATTGCCCATTAATAATGAGATGGAATATATCTGTACCAGAATGTTTCTATGAAGAAGTTCTTTCTGGGGTATACCTCAATGTTAATTCAAATTTAGGGTTTTTTTTAATGCACATTAAAAAATCCCTGCAATGACTGAGTGACTTCCGCATTTTGGTTGACCTGCTTCTTGTGTATTTGTAGTATTCAACAACTGACCACCTACTAATTTTAATTAAACATAGTTTGTATATTGTTTATTGCTTAGAGGCTGGTATTCATACGCTACCTAAAAACAGGAATCATGCATGGCAAAAACCATGCTAGTTTATGTGTTCTCTAGAACAGAGTATTATATTAGTGTTCATTGTCTTTATTAAAGATTAAATTCCTGTAATAACTCTTCCACACCACTCACAGATCCAAATTGTACTTGTGAGTAGGACTCAGATACTTAGTATTCATGGAACAGGTGATCTCAATATGATGGTAATGGGCAGCTTTTTAACCAAATTTAATAATAAATAATATGTCAGATAGCTTGATTAAAAATTAGCATTTGTGCTCATGTCAAGGATCGTGGAGTTATTATTTCTCTTTCACTCTGCAACTGTGGCTAGCTGACAGTTATTCTCCACCCCTCAGTAGTTACCCTCTTAGAGAACTCCATTACGGGAACAAGAATCTTGATTTTCATCAGACGTTCAAATCTAGTTGAGTCAAGGGCTCAGATCTTCACTTCAGGAGGCTACAAGCCCACCTGATGCTCCCTGAGCTGCTTATCAGTAGCCAACCAGAGGCCACACTGCCTGCTTCAGTGTCTTGTTTTCTGTTAACACAGCAGTGGAGAACTTGAAGGGTTCGACATTGGATTACAACTTCCATCATCCCATTCCAGCATGGCCAGTGGTCAGGATGGATTGCAGCTATATTGCAAGAACATCTGGAAGGGCATTTGCCACCACTGTCTTAAGGGAAAAGATTGTGTAACTAAAATTTTACTTAAGTCAGGCTATTTACAGTAAATTCATCTGTGGTGCTTTACTTCAAGGACTGAATTCAGTTTCAACACATTCCATTGGAGGTTGAGACTGAAAGCAAAAGAGTTGGGGGCTAAAGGCAAAGGGACTGAGACAGAATACCAAAAATATCAGTATATTTTTGCTTAAAACTCTCACTGCCAGTAACTGGGAAAACTCCAAATGATGAACTGTAGAAGGAAAGATAGTGAGACTAAAGGAAGGGCATCTGGTTATTTTGGGAATTTCAGAGGGCAGGTTTTGGCCCATGGACCTGAGGTTCAGCAACCTGATCTCTGACTTACATGTGCCCACTGCTGAGCCAAACTGAAGGGTTCATGGGTGAAGCTGGATTGTTCTTTGTTTCTTTGATGGTCTTCTCCATCAAATTTCTCTAAGGGTGCTTTGCTTAATATTAAGAACAAGCTGGACTAATCACAGATGACTGAGAAATCAAACAGATGACCTTGGATAATTATCATCATCATCATCATCATCATCATCAGAACATTTCTATGCCGCCCCTTGCCGAAGCCTCGGGGCGGCTTACAACACAATAAAATACAATAAAATACAAAAATAACAATATCAAATTAAAATTAACAATATAAAATAAATAAATAATATAAAAGATATAAAAGAAGTTATACAAGAAGCCGTCCTGGCCAGATAAATAAGTAAATATTGTTAACAATTAAAATGACGTTTAAATAAAAAGGTCTTCACCTGGCGCCGAAAAACAAATAATGATGGCGCCAGGCGGACCTCTCTGGGGAGCACATTCCATAGATTGGGCGCCACCGCAGAGAAAGCCCTCCTCCGAGTACCTACCCTCCTAATTTCTTTCATGGAGGGTTCCCGGAGAAGGGCCTCTCCCACAGATCTCAAGGGGCGGTCGGGCATATATGGATGTAAGCGCTCCTTCAGGTAACCAGGACCCAAGCCGTTTAGGGCTTTATAGGTCATAACCAACATCTTGAATTGGGCCCGGACTTCAATGGGAAGCCAGTGAAGCTGACGGAGGACTGAAGTCATATGAACATAACGCCCCGTCCCCGTCAGCAACCTGGCAGCTCTATTTTGAACCAATTGAAGTATCCGGACCGTCTTCAAGGGAAGCCCCACGTAAAGCGCGTTACAGAAGTCTAGGCGGGAAGTCACCAGCGCGTGTGTCACCGTCGCCAGGCAGTCGTACTCCAGGTAGGGGCGCAGCTGATTAATCAGCCGAAGCTGAAGGAAAGCGCTCCTCGCCACCGCTGTCACCTGAGTTTCCAATGAAAGCTCCGGGTCGAGGAGTACTCCTAAGCTGCGGACCTTGTCCCTAAGAGGGAGTGCAACCCCATTCAGGACCAGGTCAAATCCATTATAACTGGCAAAATAAGTTGTAACAAATAATGTTAGATTAAAAACAAGACTCCTACCTACACCATGTTATGTATATGTTACCTCTCAATGGAAAAGAGAATTTCTGTTCCCAAAATTGTATAGAGTACTAAGCACAATAGTACTGACACCAGGGTGGAAAACGCCTAGTGAGCAAGTAGAAGGCATCTTGAACAGATCAGATACAGTTCAAGTCAATCCCTCACCAAACAGGATTAGGGCTGGTTGACATGTTTGGAAAAGTTGCATAGCCAAAATGTTTGTGGTTTGTACTTCTGGTAAAGTGTTTTTGACCACTGGCTGGATGCTGCTACGAGTACCTTTTCTGGCTTCATTTGTTTCAGCAGGGAGATGTCCAAAACCAAAAACAAATATTACATAGTTATAAGAAGTTCAGGAAAAATGGTAGCATATTTGTTAAAACACTACCAAGCACTAGTGATCAATATATAAAAGAAGTTATCTGGGAACTGATAATAGAAATTGTTCCAATGCAAGAATGTATAAATGCTTGTTAAGAAAATGCTGAATTGGAGTAAAAATACTGGGACCAGCCACTAGATGTCATTGTTTTCCCTGAGGCTGAAATTTCCAGATAGGAATGAGAAAGCAGCCTATTTCAGAAGTTTCCCTTGTATGCAAATAATTGACAAGTGAGTTCACGTTCACATGAGAGATTGTATGGATTTGAGGGTCAAGGCTAACCCAATAGCAGTGGAGAACAGTGTCTTTTAAGCTTGCAAGAGTGCCTTAGACAAAGAACAATTTCTCTTTCTGGCCTTGCCTTACTTGTTGCTATAAAGGGCATTACTACTTTGAGTTTGGATAGATCAGAGATGTAATAAAATTAAGTTGCCGAATAGATGACTGTACATTTAAGTGCTACACTGGCTGCTGGTTTGAGACCATAATGAGAGGAAGCAATACATGAAGGCAAACAGAACCTGATGGCTTGTTTATGTCTTTTGAATTTTGTAATAAGGCTAATTACTAAACATATGGCTGGGTGCTTTATTGATGCTTCTCTTGTTGCCTCAGCCCTCTGCTGCTTCTGATTTCAGACACTCATAGGACATGGTGATACCTGAGCAAATGTGCTGGCGTAGCTTATCAGCTCATGTATGGCCATCTTCAGTTACCTTCTAGAAAGCAGCAAACTAAGGCTTGGCAGCCTGGACCTCAGAACCTGTCGAAGGCTTGATTGTATTAAATGCTATGCCTGCTGAAGACTTTCATGCCATTTCCAAAACACGCGCACTGCCAGATATACTGCAAGTACCTAGCAGATCTTGCTACCTTGGCAGGCATAAAGAGGAAGTGCGTAATGTTAAACCCTCTGCTTTCTGCTGCTCAAGCTCAAAATGCATATAAAGTGACCTGCCTCAGCACAAGGCCTGTTTTTGACCTCACTCTCAGCCAAGCTTCTGCCTGCCAGATGTTCTTCCCCGCTTCCTCTCTGTTGCTTTGTCAGAAGCAGGCTAACCAGTGGACCATTTCCACCTCTTTTGCTTCTCTTCCTTTCTGACTCCCAGCATCAGTCCTTCCCTCCTCCTCTGCTCACTGCATTGGTAAAGAAATGCCATCCCTATCAAGTTTCACTCTGGCATCAATGTTTAATATGGGAAGAGCAGGTGGGGCTAGAGAGTGAAGCACTCTGAAATTGGACTTGGGGAGGCAGAAGGAAGTAATTTTGAAAGGGGTGCGACTGATAGGGAGGCCTGCTGGCCTCCTAGTGGATGCATTGTTTTTCAGTAATACAGAGGTGAATTTGAGGCCCTTGTGTGCTGACATAATGGGAATTGTGCATCCTGGCCTACAGGTGCCCTTTATTGATTCTGAGGAAAATTGAACTGAGCAGGAAGGCAGTGTGATCCCTCCCAAGCTTGTTCCCAGATAACAGTGCAGAACATAGACTATCTTGATCTACAGGTGTCTAAGGGTAGCATTCTTACTTGCAGCCTAAGCTAAGGTCTGAGTGAAGGCAATGGAGTTACAAGATCCTAAGGCAAGTACATAAATTCACAATATCCTGTTCTGGATGAATTTCCTTGGGAGAACTCCTGTCTCTTATTTTTGTATTCTTAATCACTAGCATAGATCACTCAGCTGTCTTCCTTTTCTCTGCTGAACAATATTTGTCATAGGAATGAGGAAATGACTACTAGGGTTTGACAGGCTTTTGTGTTTGATCACTTAGAAGTTTTGAACATGTCCAAAACTTAGACCCTTATCAATATTCCTTATTGTATCCATGTCTATTTACTGCCCACATTTTTTACTATTTAACTATCTTCTGTCATTGCATTACAAGTCTCTTGTAAAATGAGTGAATGACTTAACCATCCGTCATGTCTGCATCTTGTTTTGCACAGTGGTCAACCAGATGCTTCTGGGAAGCCCAAAAGCAAGACAAGTGTACAACAGCTCCCTCCTGCGCAGGTCTGCCAGCACATGGTCTTTAGTGACCTACTGCTTCTGCTACTGTCTGTAGCTGTCATAACTAATCACTTGATCCTTTCCTACATGAATTCACCTAACCCCTTTTTAATGGTGGGCTATCACTGTATCTTTTAGTAGTAAATTGCACCGTTTGGCTGTGTACCATCTGAAGCTGTACTTCCTTTTATCTTTCCTGATTCTCCCTCTGCTCAGCTTTTGTTGAATGTCCTCTAAAATAGCCTGTCCTTGACAGCCCTGCTCAGGTCTTGTAAACTCAAGGCTGTGGTTTCCTTTATGGAGACAATTGTTTTCATATCAGGGGTTCCATGCATATTAATATTTTTATGATTACTTAATTTATTTGCATTTAGATACTGTTTAATATATTTTAAAACTCTAAGTGGTTTACAAGAAATGTAAATACATTGAAATATAATTGCTAAAATTTATGCAAAACTGTAGTAAAAACATTAAAACCAATACATGGAGAAAGCCTGCTTTTATGCTATTGCAAGCTGGCAGTCTGCAGCTTTTGGTAAAACCAGCAAGACTTATTTATTAGCTTTATAGCCCACTTTGTCTTTTTTAAAGAACTCAAAGCTGCTTAAGTGGAATTGGGAGTCTGACTGGCCCAAAGTCACCCAGTTGGCTCTGTGATTGAGTGGGGACTAGAATCCAGATTGCTTAGGTCCCAGTTCCATACTTTGAGCCACTACACCACACTGGCTCTCAC